TCCTCATAGGGAAGTTGTGCCAACCCCTTGATCATTTTTGTTGCCCTGTTTTGAACGGCTTCCATCTCTGTGATATCCTTTTTGAAGTGAGGTGGTCAGACCTGTACACCTGTAGGATTTGTTCTGAACTAATTGACTGAAGTGTTGATCAAAGACTCAGGTCCTTTGGGGGCCGGTGTCCTATAGCTCCCCCTCCCTGCTTTGGAAGTGTGTGTTTAAATGTCTCCAGCTCAGCTGGTTGTCTTCCACAGCTCTTCTTGGCGCTCTCCCATCTGTCAAGTCATAGATGGGTAAGTGGGAGCCTGTCAAGAAATGGCCTTGCTTAGACATGGCAAGATCTTACTCTCAGCAGGCATAAAAAGAAAATTTCCAAAACATCTTCTATAGTGGAATGACCTTTTAAAAAAACATGAAAAACATGCTTGACTGCATCTTTTTTGAACATCTTAATTAATGAGACTGAATTTTACAATATATCAGAAAAGATATTGGGAAAGCTCCTTTTGTTCCTGAAACAAATGTGTGAAATTGTGAAATTAAGCACATGGACCACACATTGCATTCAAAAAGAGATAAATCGGCTTAATTTTTGAATCTTTTCCCTTCAACTTTTGGGGGACTTCTTTGCTGTTGTATCCTTCCTTTGCTTGCAGTGTGATTCAACACTGGCAGTATTAATAACACCTGCTAATAGCATCTCTGTGGGATTGTGTACATGTTAATTCTTTTAAAATGATTTTCCTCCTTTGCTCATCAACATTAATTTTACACTCTGCTCCCCTGATTTCTAATTAGCAGTTGTTTCACAACATCATGGTCCTAGTAAACAGTAAGCAACAATTTTTGCAAGTGCTTCCTTTCTGTTAATCAATTTAATATTCATAAGATACATCTTTCAATTATAATATTCATAATTGTTCCCATCTCATAGCTGTTCTCCAGTTATCATTCTCCCTTGTGTCTGATCTTGCAAGTCAGACCATATGTTCTTAAACTTCCCACACCAACTTTCTTCTTTATGCTGTTAAACTACAAAAAGAAAGCTATGGTGTACTGTAAGACAAATCCAATGCACATTTTTGCAGAAGTAAATTTTCATTCAGCAGAGGTTATTCCCAGGTAGGTTTGTGCATAGGACAACAGCTTTACAGCCTGTTCTTTTGCAGGCTTTCTCAAAAGTAAATCCTATCCCTTCGGTGCCACTTACTTTTAAGTTTGTATATATAGCATTGCAGCCTTAGATTCTGACAGCACAGTTTGAAAGATGAATAATAGAATTGTAAAGTAGGAAGGGATTCCGACGGCCCTGCAGTCCAACCCCCCAAAAGGAAGGAATCTCCACTCAAGCATCCCTGGCAGATGGCCACCCAACTTAGCTTAATTCTCACTTTGTTCATTAGAGTTTACTTCCTAGTAAGTGTGTTTTGAGACTGCAGCTTTAGGATTACATAACCTCAAACTGTGTTTAGCAGAGAAAACTGAATGTGATTAGTAGCTTGCCTTTAGCCTGGCCTTTTCTCTAGCAGACTGAAGTTGCCATGATGTCTTTACTTCGGTTGTTCCTTCCAATAATTAGTAAGGGTACTGCTAGTATCCACAACTGCTGCATGAAAGGAGGCTGAGTTTTAAACATATTTTCTTAAATGTTATTCACTTATGTCTTAAACTCATCAAGTTTTGATTTACGATCATATTTCTAGGGTAACTTCATTGTACTGTCGTTTCTGTAATCTCCACAGAGGGTTCCGTCAAGACTTAATCACTACTATTTCCCCCTTTGATCTGACTGCCTGTGTGCATTTCATGCGGAGAAAGATGTTCTCATTGTCCTGTGCTCCCTTGGTAATGCTCAAGGGATATAGAACATTCCATATTTTAAAAGGGCATTCTGTCCACTTGTGGGCTGCTTAGCCCAATCAAATTGCAGAGACTGTAATCTCAGGCTAGTTATACTGGAATAGCATGTCCTGGCTGCAGCAATGAAGTATTCCATCTCTTGCTGTCTTGGACTAAATGTGTCCATTCACATGCCATTTTATTTTTCCTCTGTGAAACTATGAACACTTGCCAAGGGAAAACAGTTTTGTTTACGCTGTCACTTCCCAGTCCCCTCCAAGGTGGCTTGCAACTAGGAATGAGGTTAAATTCAATTCAGTTTGCATCTAAAGGTGAACGTATTTAAATGTACACTTCCCAAAACAATACAAGAACCGAAACATAGTCATTCTTTGCATTTCTCCAAATATTGCAATGCAGTTCTCCAGCCAAGTAATGTGTACAAAAATACATATACTCAGAGTAAAGTGTGCATGTGTCTGTATATATTTGTGAAAATAACATACAAAAGTGCACTACGTTAGGGGAAATTGCTTTAGAAAAATATGTATATTAGGGGGAAATGCATACAAAAAGGTGTTTATTGAGAGAAATTCACACAAAAATTCTGATGAACACAACACATACGCAGGAAGCTGCCTTATCCCAAACCAAATCACTGTTTCACTTTGTGCGGTATTGTCCACATTGACTGGCCATGATTCTCCAAGGTTTCAGGCAGGAGTCCTTCCCAGCCGTATGCAGAGGTACCAGATAATGGAACCTGGGACTTTTTGCATGGAAAGCCTGGGTTCTGCCGCTGAGCTGTGGACACATCCAAAAAAACACTATGGTTCCTTGATAGCCATTCAAGGAACATAGGAAATTATATTGTCAGACACATTGGCACATCTAGCTCAGGACTACCCAAACAGACTTTCAGTTGGTCTCCAGAGTTTCAGACAGCAGATGGAATAGCTCAGTTGGTAGAGCATGAGTATCTTAATCTCAGAGTTGTGGGTTCGAACCCCACATTTGGCAAAAGATTCCTGCATTGCAGGAGGTTGGACTAGATGACCCTCGTGATCCCTTCCAACTCTACAATTGATTCCTCCCATGCCCTATCTGGAAATGATAGGGATTGAAGCTGGGACCTTTTGTATGCAAAGCATGTGATCTTATCCCTGAGCTTAAGCCACCCTACCACAGTGGCTATCTGTTGTTTTGTGCATCTGGAAAAAAGTTTTAAAATTGCACTCCATGTTGTGTATTAAAAGTGCAGTATTCATTATTTAATAATAGTTCCTGTGGCTGCTTGAAATGCCAGTTTGTCTGAAACTTGCCACCTCTTTGCATTGTAATATGAACTGCACTTATAAATACTTTTGTGTTGTTTCAAGGTGTTTTGCAAGACAACCTGATGTAGGAAAAGTCCTGTTGTTTGTAAATGCAGAGCTGTTATCTGCTTCTTCCTTCTCCCTGCTGGCCACAAAATAGATTTCTCTCCCTGCGTTCACCACATTTCCTTCTTGTGTGCTGGTAGTGCTTTCTAAGAATCCTTGGGTATTTTACATGAAATGATTGAGTACATTAGTGCAGACTCCTGGCAGCGGGGGGGGGGGGGGGAGTCCTGCATTTCCTGTCATTGCAGTCTACATTTCTTCCTTGGCCAAATCACTTGCTGAAATTGAATGAGGCACTGAGGCTTTTGGATGCCATATGTGCAGCCAGGTTTGACTGCTTGCGATGAGTAATGGGCTGTAGTCATTGCTTTGACAAATATCAAAGAAAAGTTGGCTTTGAAGTTTAGACCTGCCAGAGTTGGAGGAGAGCTGCTCCTCAGGACACAAGGTTTACACTTGAGTAAATTCAAGATCTAGCAGCTAGAGGGTGCAACTTTAATAGCTTAAAGATGCGCCTGATTTAATTGGAAGCATTTTTGAATATATATAATTTTTTAAATACAAATACTTATAAAAGCTGCAGAATGCAGTCATTCTCCCTTCTCACACACAGAAGGGAATGAGAGACTGTGACTGGCCTGAGATCACCTAGTGAGCTTCATAGTTGATCTTCTATGTCCTTATCTGACACTCCAACCACTGTACCACCAGCAGCTCTCTTCTAAGATGCTGCTTGCTCAGGCCACTGTGGCATCTGGAAAAAAAGGTGCACGTTAGGCTTCAGTAGTCTTGCTTTTACACCTATCCAAATTTAGTTGAAGGATTAGTCAGCTAGAACTTTATCAATTCAATTATTTAATCGGATTGTTGCCGTATTAAAGAATATACAAGGAAAGCCCTGCTGGACCAGAATAAAGGTCCATCTAGTCTAGCATCCCCTTTTCCACAGTGACTAATCAAAAGCCTCTAGGAACTCTCAAGCAGGGAATGAAGGCAACATTCCTTCCCTGCTATTGCCTCTTATCTGTTGGTATTCAAAGGTGAATTGCCCCTGGATTGTGAAGTTCTGTTTTAGCTATCCTGGCCAAAATAGACCTCTCTCCTCCATGACGCTTCAGGTTGCGTTTTTTCGGGTTACGGACGCGCCGAAACCCGGAAGTACCGGAATGAGTTACTTCTGGGTTTCGGCGGTTGCGCATGCACAGAAGCGCTAAATCGCACTTTGCACGTGCACACACGCGGCGCTGCAGGTTGCGAATGCTGCAGTTTGTGAACTTGCTTCCCGCAGAGATCACGTTCGCAACTCAAGCATCCACTGTACCAAGAACAAATTTAGTTGGTCTCTAAGGTGCTACTGAACAATTTATTATTATTATTTTATATTTCGACTGTCAGACCAACACGGCGACCTACCTGAATCTATTAAAAAGGAGTTAATGATAAGAAGACTACTGATTTAAGGGTTGTTGTCTGGGGCGGGAAGGGAGCTAAGAGGAGCTCTCAGCATCCAGTCAACATTTTGTCATAAATCCCCCTAATGAAACTTGCTGCTTAGTTGGCAGCTTTAATGGCTGCCAAGTCAGAAAACATTTTAACACTGGACCTTTGTTAACCTTCTTAATGGGCTCCAGTTCTATGAAGGCCTTTAAGCTGTTGGTGCATAAATATTAGACTACACTCCATTTGTTATGCAAATCACTTTGCCAAAGCGGTTCAGCTGCCTGCCATTCAATGAATATTAATGAAACCTGGAACTATTTCTTGTGGGTTTTTGTCTTTCAGGAAATAAGAACAGAAGCAATTGCCAGACCTCTGGAGATAAATGAGACTGAAAAGGTGATGAGAGTTGCCATCAAAGACATTTTGGTAAGGATGGTGGTCTTTTTTAAAAAATGTTTTATTCTGTGGCTTTATTATGAATTGGTTATCTTGTTCAATACTATCTTACTCTGTTTTCAAGTTCTTTTTTTTTATTCCTGAAACTTCTTTAGATTCTGTGTGTCACAGATCAGAACCTATGGCAAATGTGTGTCTTGGAGGGTGTTTTGGAGCAGGGAAGGAGTGCATCAGTCTTTCCATACCTGCTTCTTCCAGTTATTCCTTCCTTCCCACAGTTTCCCCTTTAAAATGTTTTTAAATCTGCTAGACTCTGTTACATGCATTTGTATGCAATGTGTGGTTAGATAAAGGTAAAGGGACCCCTGACCATTAGGTCCAGTCGTGGACGACTCTGGGATTGCAGCACTCATCTCGCTTTATTGGTTGAGGGAGCTGGCGTACAGCATCTGGGTCATGTGGCCAGCATGAATATGCTGCTTCTGGCAAACCAGAGCAGCACATGGAAACGCTGTTTACCTTCCCACCGGAGTGGTACCTATTTATCTACTTGCACTTTGACTGCTAGGTTGGCAGGAGCAGGGACTGAGCAACGGGAGCTTACCCCGTCGCGGGGATTCGAACCGCCGACCTTCTGATCAGCAAGCCCTAGGCTCTGTGCTTTAACCCACAGCGCCACCCACATCCTACGTGTGGTTAGCCCCCAGTAATCTTTGCAACATCCCTGTGAAAATAGGCTAGCATATTCTTCTACCTATATTTTACAGGTGTTGACCTTTGGCTGAATGACAATAGCTTGCCTAAAGCCACCTAGTGGACTATACATGTATAACTAGGAAGAGAGGCCCTGTTTCATGACTACAACTTGAAATATATTGTAATTAAAATTTGATATGTACATCAGACGAGCCCTGCTGGATCAGGCCAGTGACCCACCTAGTCCCGCATCCAGTTCTCACAGTGGTCCACTAGGTGCCTGTGGGAAACCTGCAAACTGGACCTCAGCAGAACAGAACAGCACTGCGCTCTCTCTCTCTCTCTCTCTCTCTCTCTCTCTCTGTTCTTCCACCCCACACCCACCCCGCCATAAAGCACAGTTTCAAGAAACCACTCTGGCCCCATTTTTCAGAGTTCCCTGGGAAGAGGGATTGGCTGTTAAACCACTCTGGTTTAATTATAGCTCTGTGCAGACAATGGGGTCTCCAAACAACTCTCAGCACTCTTAACAACTACAGTCCTCAGGATTCTTTAGGGGACGTCGTAACTGCTTGAAGTGGTATGATACTGCTTCAAATGCGTAGTGCAGATGGGCCTCTGCTTTCATAGCTGCCTGAACTAGTGAGTCCAATCAATAGTAGCCATCTGCTAGAGCAATCCCAATTGGTGCTTAAATGTCAAAATAGTCCTTCTTTGCCAATTAATAATTCTGAAAGAGCAAGGTTTTCAAGGTCATCAGTACTTTGATTCTGTGCAGCACATTTTTGTATATCCTTTCTCCCCTTCCCTCCCTGTTTTCTTGATTTCCTTTCATCCTTTTGATTACATTTGGGTTTGTGTGGGAGAGAAATGGCTATAAGTGAGGCTTTTTAAAAAGGCCCAAGCGGTCTGCATGTTCCCTTACACGCAGCACTTCTGAATGAAGATTTATCCTAAGGAGCTATAAACATTGGCAGAGGATTAAAACCTGCAAACAGTTGTTCCTCCGCTTTTGTATTTGCAGACAGCACTCCCCAGAGCTGATCTTTCCTATTTTCCTTCTCAGGTATCCACCAGGGAGCTCTTGCTTCTTTGTATGTTTGGTAGAAAGCACTTTATTAATCTGATAACAGGGTTGCACAAACCCTCACGCAAAGAGATCACTTGGACAATGATGCCAATTTAATGTAAAAGTAATTATAAAATTTCCTTAAGCATTTTTGTTGATAGTACTGGGGTACAACTATGCAGAGGTGAGATCAGGTTCCCTACAGGTCCTTGGTTAAACAAAAATAAAGCTGAATGGTTAGTACTGCTGTGTTTTAGCTGCTGCATCAGTATAAAATAACTGGTGCATTGTTAAAAGGGGAGTTTTTCCCATGTTGGGATCATTTAGGACCCAAGTACCTTGGATGTGTATCATCAACAATTTGCCTTGATCACTTTAATGGGGGTCTAATTGATCCAGTGGCCTCCACCTCAGATTAAAAATGCACACAGAGAATCGGGAGTTTGAGACAGAACCATCAAGCCTTTTTACGGTACATAAAACATGACTTAGTACAGATAACAGAAAGAACTTGGGTCTGGGTATTCTCTTTGATTATAAAAGTCCTGGCTGCGCAACAGGTTTCTGAATCATGGTGTTACTAGTTGGCCAGCTTTTAGGGATGGAACAGGGGTGAGGAACCTCCCAGATGTTGCTGGCCTCCAGCTCCCACTATCCCCAGCCAGCATAGCAAGTGTGCAGGAATGATGGGGTTGTCGTCCAAAAACATCAGGAGGGCCACAAGTCCCCCGTCCCTGGTGCAAAGACTCCAAACCAGGTGTCAGCCTGCACTTGGAAACAGGCATCAAGAGAGTCACAAGCAGACAAGGACCCGGTACAAAACAGGTGCATAATTGGCTAACCAGATGATTCTGGGAAGCTCACAAGGAAGGGATGAAGGTTACACCCCTCCCTATTAATTGCCTCCAACATTTGGTATTCAGAGGTGTACTGCGTCTGAACATATGAAGGTTCTGTTTTGCTAATATGCTTAGAACCAAAGAGCTGTGGAATGTTTATTTGTGTGCAGTTCGAAGCAAGCAGAAGTGGACTCTGCCTTCCTCCTAAATGGGACTGGTCCTGCTCTGAAATATTCCACATCCAAGTCTGGCATGTTCCTTTGAATTATCCTGACTATCACTTCTAGATTCTTAAGGCATTTGTGCGCTAGCCCAAACTTTTCTCAAAATTACTCATCCTTATCCTAGTAAGTTCTTGTCCTGTTTTTGAGTTGTAGCACGCGCTCTCTCTCCCTCTCTCTCTCTCTCACACACACACAACCCAAAAACAAAAACCCTCCAGCATGACTTGGAAAAAGTCAGAAGAGCAGATGCATAAAATTTCCCCTTCTCATGACAAGAAAAATGAGAACAAATGCAGAATAACCTATGCAAACAGTTCCTGTTCTCATTGTTTATATGCCCTTATATTGGCGCAGAACGTGTGCTGCTTTGGTGTATAATTTTTGTTTATAATTGTTTTACATTTTAATCCCACCTGTCCTTCAAGCATCTGCTTTGCATTCAGAAGATCCCAAGTAGGACTGGGAAGGTCCCCTGCCTCAAAACCCATTATTATTGGGCCAGAATGACCAATGGTCTGACTCAGTATAAGGTAGCTTCCTAGGTAGTATGCATGTTTTTCCACCTCCACCCCTACCTCACTGCTGTATTTCATGTTCACAACAATTCTATGAGGTAGGTGAAGAGAGGGAGAGTAGCTGTGACTTACCCAGTGAGCTTAGTGGCTGAGTGGAGATTTGAACATGGATCTCCCTGGTCCTAGTCCAATGGCTCTTTAGCACACACAGCCATAAATATAACCATCAGAAAATGTGGCCAGAACAGAGCTAGGAACTAAAAATGTCATCTGGTGATTCTGCCAGCAACTGTCACTCATCTTTGCAGTATCTCTTTTAGGAGCAGGTCCAGAAAACCAAAGACATGCTGAGCAACGTGGCATCAGATGAAACCAGTTTGGAGGCCAAGATTGAAAAGAGGAAATTGGAGCTGGAAAGAAACCGCAAGCGGCTACAGACCCTTCAGAGTGTTCGGTAACTACTGGCGTACTGTTTGTCCCATGAGAAATGAATATGCAGAGTGTTAATGTGCGTGCTTAATGCCTAGTGCAGTGGAGAGTGAAAAGCCTGCAATGAGCCTAAGAAACTCTCTTGTCCAAGAAGTGCTATAAGTATTGAGGCCCCAATCACACAAGCAGAGGCTCTTACTTGTAAGTAAGAAACAGATATTTATTCAGGCAAGCAGTGGAACAGGGTCAGCAGCAGACACAGGGTGCAAGAGGCACGATTCAGGAGCAGTGCAAGAAGTTCAAAAGCGACAAAGATGTCTCAACAAGTTTCCATGTCCTTCCCACTAAGTTTTTAAAGAAGAGGCGTGGTGCACTCACTCTCAAGACTCTCTTGCCTTGTGGGAATGTTGGCATTGCAAACACACATTCCGTCAGAGAAGATGGGTTCTGTTCCCATGTGGTTCTAGGCAACAAGACTGCACCCTGCTCTTGTTCAGTCACTGCTGCCTCCTCTTTCGCTTCCTTCCCTTTGCTGATCAGAGCTTTTTCCATCTTCCACTCAGGCTCTCTGCTCTAAGGGAAGGTCAGTGGGGAAAGCCAGCATCCCTGCTCTTGCATCCAAAGTGGCTGGTGTTTGGGCAGAAAGAGGAGATCTATTCCAGCCCAGTTTTCCCCCATTCAGTCCTTTCCTCTGTTTCCTCCTGCTGCTCTTGTATTAGAGCCTTCCAATCCAAGGTTATTCCCGACAGCACTCTCGACAGTAGAATTACTTGCTACCTGCTAATGTACACTCTCTAATTGCAATTATGTAATTATCCATTTTTCCAGTCATTTGACCTTTTGAAAACAGCTCAGCATTTTCCTACTCTGAGCATCACTTGATAATTGTGTTTTAAAAAATGATTTGTTTTAAAAATGCACAAAAACAAAGTTGTTAAAATGAGATTGAATCTGTGACATTTGACTCTTTGTTTTTAAAAGAAACGGGTTCTTATTGGAGAGGTCAGTCTGTAGTGACCATATAGCCGATTTTAGTTTTTTAAAAAATTGTGATCCTTCATGGCATATCCCAGATGCATATATAAGAGTGAAAAATCATAAAGAATGGGGGAAGGTGTTTTTGTTTTGTTTTGTTTTTTGCTTGGTGCCTTTTTCCTGGGACTTTGAGTATTTGGGTGTTTTTGTGTTTTTGACTGTGCCTTCATCAAATGCAGCTGCAGACTCATGGGCTAGAGATATTTAAATCACAAAATGAAAGCTGGTTTCTAATGTGTTGTAGTCAAGGATCTGTGGGACTTTATGCAGGCCAATAAGCCCTTCCTATCAGGCTTCTTTGGGACACGGGTGGCGCTGTGGGTTATACCACAGAGCCTAGGACTTGCCAATCAGAAAGTAGGCGGTTTGAATCCCCACGACGGGGTGAGCTCCCATTGCTCGGTCCCTGCTCCTGCCAACCTAGCAGTTTGAAAGCACGTCAAAGTGCAAGTAGATAAATAGGTACTGCTTCAGCGGGAAGGTAAACGGCATTTCCGTGCACTTCTCTGGTTCGCCAGAAGCAGTTTAATCATGCTGGCCACATGACCCAGAAGCTGTACGCCGGCTCCCTCAGCCAATAAAGCGAGATGAGCACCGCAACCCCAGAGTCGGTCACGACTGGACCTAATGGTCAGGGGTCCCTTTACCTTTTTATCAGGCTTCTTTGAACTATGGATCATTAAAATACAAGTGAGCCAGTTTCTCCTTTGAATTTTTATGCATGTTAGGGTACCTTGAAGATTGCCTCCTCTCATACCATCCTGCCTACTTCCTAAGAACAGAAGGAGAGAACCTTCTGCTTGGCCCACTTAGGATGGAATCACAGCTGGGTGAGACAAGAGAGCAGGCCTATTTAGTGGTTGTACTCAGATTCTCTCACTGTCTGCCCTCTCCTGCTTTGACCAGATTTATTAGCTTTACCGTACATGCAACATCCGAGATGTTAGCTAGCCAAGAATCTACAGAAGGAAGGGTGATACTGTTCCAATTCTGCCAGATTATCATTCTGGCTGCAGTTAACAAATAAGCTGTCATTTCTAAATCATCTTCTGGTATACTGCCCTTTAGATAAGGAAATAATATTACCTTTGGATCTCTTGGGACATCATAACCTAGAAGTTTTTATTTCTGATAATACTAGATTCCAAAATATCTGGATTTTTGTATATTACCACATAATGTGGAATATATTTGCCTCAAGTGTTTTACACATCCAACAATCACCTGTAGTCTCTGGGTTTATTTTGTTCAATCTCACTGGAGCCAAAAATCAATGAATTTATAATACATTTTTAAAAACTTAAGTGAAGCAAGATTTCCCCCCCCCCCAAATCCATACTCATTTATCTTCTAGAATTATTATCAGCATGCTTTGTTGCCAGTTAACTAGATATTTATGTCCATATGGTTCAAAAGCAATCAAATCTTACTTAGGACTCCCTTGACATAGTTTTCAGATGTAATTAGGACCTTAAATTTTGTTGGCTCTCTTAATGAACCATGAATCCATAATAATGGATTAACTGTATTTTTTCTTGGAAGATATTGGAAAAAGGAAAAAGAGTAGTTGAGCATATTCTAGAATTGGTTTAACCTGATAGAATGTTTTAAATGTTCCCAGAAAATATTTGGGAGCTGGGTGGGAGGTAAGGTAGTGCTTGAAATCCCTCAGTTCATCACACAGCTAAAAAAACAAAACTCACAGATTCTCCCATGTTCCTTTTATCTTGTGTCCCCATCAGCCCAGCTTTTATGGATGAATATGAGAAGATTGAGGAGGAACTGCAGAAACAATATAGCTGTTACCTGGAAAAATTCCGTAACCTTACATATCTGGAACAGCAACTGGATGACCAGCACCGAATGGAGCAGGAGAGATTTGAGGTGAGGGTTCTCAAATATTACATGAACTCCTTTAGTCTTTATTTCTACCCCACATGCTTCTGTATGCATTTCTGCAGTTTTGTCTGTATTTATCCTCAAGTGTGCACCATGCCAGGTTCCAATACAGGCTTGCTTTCTTGTTTTCTGTCACTATTTTGGGGGCTTGATCCATTTGCTTATGGTAGAATTCGACTGCTGTTACCCATCTGCCCAGGGTTGCTCTTTTTGAAAGGAGGTATACAAAGACCAAGAAAAATAAAACATAATTATAAATAAATAAATTTAAAACTCTGGGTGAAGACGGATGTAATTTTAAAAAGTTAAGTGCGTTGTTCAGTCATGCGCTGAGCACAGTTTCCTCCTGCCTGTGTAATTTGCATGAAAGGTATACATGGCAGTGCCTTGAATACTAGTTGAGTCATCTTGCTTCCTTGCTTCAGATGGTCTGCCCAGTATGGTCTGCCACATGTATTTTGATTGACTTGTCTGTCATTTATTTATTTTAATAACTTCAAACATTGGTTTTAAAATTTCAGAAATGTTTGGGGAACACAAGTGTATGTGTGGTTATAATGGGTTAATGACTTTGTATGCATGAGCCAATAGGCACTGTTCAGAGGTAGATCTTCCCCATTCAAGGTCTACAACATTGAAAACCTGCCCATTGACAGGTGTTGTTGTTTTTAAGAAGTGTGTCATAACAGAAGAAGAACCATGGACTTCAAAAATCCTCGCCCTGTCTCACCCCGCTTTCTGAACCACTGCAGATGATTTAGTGCTGTACACAATGGGAGATCAAGGCACAGTTCTAAAAGGGCTGTTTCTCTCTTCCTTTCCTCTTCTTCCTGACTGCCCTTTCATCACATTTGCCAGGACAATTTGGTGTCAGATTAGCCCTGCCCCTTTGGAATATGTGCCGCTTGCTGGGAGTCAAAGAAAAATAGGACTTGAAATCATAAATAATTGAATTCCAATCTTTGCAACACCCACTCATCTAATAATCAAATGGCTCATTGATCTTTGTGTACTGACTTGCCTTTGTTCCAGTAAATATGTCTTTTGCAATTATTGTGCAGAGGAAATGGTATGCTTTGTGCCGCCTTTTCCAGAATTTCACTCAACAGTATGCTAAGACAATGGCAATGACTGTGTGGTTAGGTTAATCTGCTTCCCTGGGTTCTTTGGGTATTGAGGAATGAGCTGGTGGACAAATGAATATTTATCAAGTGAAACTGTGTTCCAGCCTAAAGAGCATCATTGAGTAATTGGCCTGTAATCTCTGGAACACTTGGCAGATGCAGCGGCTTGTGTTCTCTGCTGTTGTTTCACAACTAATGACATCGGGTAGGTTGCGTTTCATAATTGGAAAAGTGATTTAAAGACTGAAGAAAGGTTTTCACATTTTAATTAGTGCAGCACTGTGGATGCCATGCAGCAGTCTCTTAAAACTACCCCCTCTTCCCTACATCCCCAAAAGACAGAAGGCCTACAAGTCTATGTAATATAGCAGATCTTTGTCCTCAAGATTCCTGCTCTTATACAAGCACTAGTGTAGTCCTTGGAGGGAAATATGCATGTCTAACCACGTTGTTGTTGTTGTTGTTGTTAAGAAAAACAAGAATAAAAACAATCTAAAATACAACAAAGGACGCGGCTGGCGCTGTGGTCTAAACCACTGAGCCTCTTGGGCTTGCCAGTCAGAAGGTTGGCGGTTCGAATCCGCACAAAGGGTGAGCTCCCGTTGCTCAGTCCTTCTCCTGCCAACCCAGCAGTTTGAAAGCACGCCAAAAAGTGCAAGTAGATAAATAGGTACCTCTCCTGCGGGAAGGTAAATGGCGTTTCCGTATGCTGCTCTGGTTTCGGTGTCCCGTTGCTCCAGAAGCAGCTTATTCATGCTGGCCACATGACCCGGAAAACTGTCTGCGGACAAACGCCGGCTCCCTCGGCCTGTAAAGCAAGATGAGCGCCTCAACCCCAGAGTCGTCTGCGACTGGACTTAACTGTCAGGGGTCCTTTACCTTTTTACCTTTAAAATACAACAATATGCATAAAAGTGCAAACCCAACTCAGTGCCACTCCACTAAAAATATGCAGAGAATTAAGCTCCAAAGGCCTGGCTGAATAAAAGCAGATAGTGAAGGAGCCCGGCATGCCTCCCTGGGGAGAGCATTTCACAACTGGGGAGCCACTACTCTGACGTCCCATTCTCTTTTCGCTACCCTCCTCACACACAGAGAGAAGGGCATCAGCTGAAGAACACAGGGTGGTGCTGTGCTACCGTATCCCTTGAGTGGAAGTGGCAGCCTAGCTTGCCCAGTAGTAGTAAGCCTATCTCTAATAGCTATCTTGGGCCATGGAGCCAAAACAGAGGCAATGAAAATGAGGGTAGTATCTGCATGCTTGGGTGAAGCAAGAAGTAGGTAGAAGTACAAAAAGAAAATATCTCATGAAAACTCAAAAAAAAGGCAATCTAAGGGAGACTGAGGAAGCCCAGTAGCTTCAGGATGTTGAATATCAACTGTAAAAGAAAATCGGAATAATAAGGAATGCCTTGCTTTGGAGGGAGTAAGTAGCTGGAAACCTGATTAGGAGCACTCCCTCTAGGAGAGGGAATACGCTGCGACACCCCTCCCCGCCCCCCCAGATCCCACTTGGTTCTCTGAATCTCCATTTCTGGTGGTGAGGTGGGGGCAGGACACAGGGTTTGCAAGGGGGAGGCTCTGTGGGTTTCCTATAAGCATCTGGCTGGCCACTTTTGGAAACAGGCTGCTGGGCCAGAAGACCTTTTGCTCTGGTCCAGCAGGACTCTTCTTATGCTCTTGGGGACAACAGAGGCCCAGAAATGCCAGTCATCTCCCGCATTTCCCTCAAGGCCCCTGACCATCTGCGATGCACGCCGAGCGCTGCCATTCTCCTTCAAGGAGGCAGCAGGAGCTGTAATTTAAATTTCCATGTAGCGCAATCAATCCTGAAATGATTAACTCTCCTTTGTGACGCTGCTATTGAGAAGAATTCATTACAATTAAATTCTTGTGTACAAATTGTTCCTGCAGAAGCTTGGCTTGGGAAAGCTTGCGTGTGCTGCCTATTGGTATCTGAGTTACCATTCATTATGCAATCGTGACGTATCTTAACTGCTGAGAAGATTTTAAATCCCAGCTCGTCATTATGGTCTGCTAGTGAAGCATTCTGATATCAAAGCACCAGCTGGCCTGCGGTCAAGTTAACCGAGACAGAGGAGGGGAAACAAAAACTTGTTAAGCCATGCTACACTCACAATTATTTTTTATTGTGCTTGATTTTTGAGTGCTTTTATAAAGGTGGCCTCTTTCAGTCCTTGTTAAGGCTAACTGATGCTGTAGGTGTGAGCAGCCACAAGCACTGTCCCCTTAACACCATGTGAAGAGCTTCATTAACTACGGACCCTGAAATTTGGGGTCCCCTCCAAACTCCTGCTTTCAGCATAAATTACAGACGTACTTCAGAAGTCAAACAGAATCCATTTGACTTCTGAAAAGTTTGTAAACCAAGGTGCAGCTTCCGATTGCGCAGGTGCGCCTTAAACAATAGCAGAATATACAAGAGTAAATTGTGATATTCCTTGCTGGCAAAATATTTTTTTATAAGGCTATGAAAGGCCCCAGCTGCTCTAGTAATTTCTTCATCTGACATAATTTGATAAACTATGTACACTGATCATGGCGTTCACACCATGGACTCATCCACATATTTACATAAAGACCATGCATGGAAACCAACACACCAAATAAACTAATACAACAGAACTGTAATATGCCAGGAGAGTAGCAAATGAGCTTTTATTGAATCATTACAGTTTGTACTTTCCCTAGGTCCAGAGAGAGAAGTAAGCAAATAAATAAATATGAGAGCAGTTGAGGCAATTTCTATTACAATATAGGCACGGTTGAGTTAATTGGAGATGTCCCAGATTGGTGGCTTTGTTTTTTGGTCATTGAAAACGGGGGACTCATTGTTTGAAGAGTACTCTGTTAATACACCATGGTCTCTTGAGGGGCCTTTCTTTTCTTTTGCCCTATGTTGTCACTTTGTTTCTTCCTTCCTTAATCTCCCTCCCAGCCATAATTTTGAATTTCAGTCTCTTTGCTATTGATTGTGCATTGTGCTCAAGTGTGAAGATTTTGAGCTCCTGTTAGTAGGAAATTGGCATTTCCCCCTGGACATTGTGCTTATCTGCAAGCTGTTAGGACAAGATACCAGGCAGGATTAATGTATCCTGCTCTGGAACTGCTGACATAAAGAAGGGACTGTTGAAACTTGAAGTTCCTGTTGATAGCATCATAAGGATGCTGCACGGTCAAGGACTCTTCTTGCACCATTGTGCCCAGGACCTTAGGGAATGAAAGGCTGCAAGAAACACATAGGTTTAGAGCTGAGATGGGGAACCTGTGGTCCTCCAGAAGTTGCTGTAATAAAACTCCAGCATCCCTTCTGGGATAACATGCTGGCTGGGGTCGGCAGGCATTGGAGTCCAACAATACTTGGAAGGTCACAGAGCTTCTGGCTCACCTGTCTTTCTGAATGTAGCCTTGTGAAGATACCCAAGGCACACATCTTTGTTGCTGGGATTCAAGAAGCCTTTGCCCATCCCTTCTTTTCGGTTACTGTGCTCCACCTAGCTCAGGATCTCAGCATTGATAACAGTTTTCATCACAATATTTTAACTGAAGTGTGTACCCCCTCCTTAGAATGAGCAGACATTGTGACTTACGTAACATGAAAGGGTGGGAGGTCCAGTGTACAACATTATTAAGAATGAGGAATATAGACGCAGTTTAGACGAAAAACGCAATGCTTTATTTAAGAGCATAAGAAGAACCCCTGCTGGATCAGACCAAAAGGACCACCTAGGTCAGCATCCTATTCTCAAAGTGGCCAGCCAGGTGCCCAAGGGAAGCTTGGAAACAGGGCAATTGGTATCAGATGCTCACTGGGTCAGCATTTTCATAATGAAACTGAAA